AATTTCAACAGCATCATTGTTTTGCTGTTTTTTTTTTAATCTCTAGACACAACATGTGCTGAAGTCATTCTATAAAGAAGAAAGAAGAAGTCATTTACAGGTGTGGTGACAGTGCCTTTCTCCTCCCACCACAGACAATGACTCTGTGTTGCACTAAAATAGGTTTACTATCATCCTTTTGCACATTCAAGTTGTTTACATGACATACTGTCTACCCCTGCACATTCTCAGGTGGTTAATTTGCACCCTCCTGCACACTGGAAGCATTTCTATTACTTACTGTGATTTATAATGACTTGCTGCTAACTTGGTGACAACATGTTTTTAAATCTATATGTTACTGTTCTACGGTTATGGATCAAAACAAAAAGTCAGAATCCTCGTACAGGAAAACCTCCTTCAACTGAAATGAAACCTTTCTGAATCTGATTTAAATTGCAATTACAAAAGAAATAGTACATTTATACTGTGTCGGGATCTAGTTAAAGCTCATTGTGATGAACACAGACCTTTAATTAGCACCCTATTAAAGACTTATGTCATCCGTACCACAACTGTTCTTAAGTGACTTCAAATTTTTTGCCCAATTATTTAGCAAAGAAAAAAAAAACAATCCACCATGACCGGGGGTATTCGTCGTGCTATAGCTCGCCGCAAAATTGAGCAAGTGATCCTTTTAGCGGCTTCACAGAAAAGCCCAAATTACATTATGTGTGCAGTCGAACAGCTTTCTGACCACCACAGAGGGCGGCTGGAGTAATTAGAACTAAATGCGTGCACGGTCTTCCTGTGACCAAACTGTGCACTTGGTTTCTAAATCCACTCGCAAAAGAAAAGTCTGAGACGCCACCACTGCCCCGTGTCTGCCACATAAGAGGGAACAGCTAGCCTAACAGGTATCACAATGATAATAAACAGCTGTACACAAGATTTACAGTTTTCTGCAGTAAAAGTAGATTTAAAAAAAAAATAGAAGGTGGACCTGATTCCCCGTTAGCGCCTCGAGGGGGAACGCGGACCAGAATAAACCGTAATGAGTTCAATTCTTCGCCAGAATTAGAAAGATGTCTGGATTTGGAGCACAAGAGAGAAATCTGGTTCCTGAGAGAAACAGAAAGAGATTTTTTGTTGTTGTTGTTGTTTTCATGGAACGATGATGGAAATCAAGAGGATGTAAAACGGGGAACATGTGGGATGAAGGATGTAAGACGAGGGTGTCCTACATAAAGACAGTCGAGCTGCGTCTGATGTGATTTCGACTGTGTGCATACGTGTTATACGGGACGTGTGTGTGTGTGTCTGAGAACATGTGTCCATCCTGTGTGCATGTTTGCTTAACGTGTGTGTGCGACTGTAAGTATGTTTTTTTTTTTTTCCAGCTGCTGAGCCAGCAAGAGCACAATGTCTGTCATGATGCAACAGGCAGCTAATCCTCTCCTTATGTAAACGCTTGACTGCTATTCAGCCGACATGCAGATGGGTTAGAGAGCTTAGGTTCTGGCAGGATAGTGTCATAACAAGAAACGTCTGCGGAGACAATGTGCTGTCAGCATTTGGGTGATTAATGCCGCGCTCCGTGTCTAAAAACAGCTTTTTTTTCTCAGGACCGAGAGGAGACGGTCAGGTGCACACGCTGCCAAAACTCGATAGTTTTTACGAGGTGGAGGAGATGCAGTCAGCTAAAAGGGAGACCATTTGGGGCAATGCGGCATGCATATATTAATGTGATGAGAAATAACCGAAAAAGTGTGTAACCGGCCTCAGATGAAAATGGATTTCGTGATGCCTGCAGGTTCAGTAAACACGCCGATCCAGAGACGAGGCGATGCGACGGGGATGTGGCGCAGTTTGGATTCATTCGTCATTTACTGCTCATTTTGATTTATGAGTCGAGATAGTTT